GCTCATGAACTGATGTACAGACAGTGTTTCGGTCCTGTACTGCCTATTGCAGTTCCATTTCAGTAATATTTTGATTTGTTGTCATTTACCATGAAGTCAGACGCTGACCTCTGTGGGAGATAGCGGCAGTGATGACAGGAGGCCTATGCGTACTGCAAGGCCACAATAGTTTGAATTTACATGCCTTTATTTGCCCAAGTGTTTGCATTTCTCTCACTCTCCACAATTCACCTATCAACTCGGGACTAAAAATATTTAGGAAAGCCATGGGTGGGGAATACAGACTGTTAGAGGGAGCAGCAGAAATAAGAGCTAGGAGAAAGGTAAATTTGTGGCTTCACAGTGGTAGTGCTCAGGAACTCCAGGAAAGCAGAGAAGACACTGAAGTAGGCATATGAAGTAGAAGAAATTATATTCATTAAGGCAATGAGGATAAATGGGTTGTTCTGCTGGAGACAGAAGAAAAAAAAAAAGGCTGTGAAATAAAGCCTGTGGAAAGTGTCATTAGTTTCTCAGCAATTAGAAAAAGAAGGTAAAAGAAATTAGGAAAGGGGGGGACTAAACTCAAGATAAAGGAAAAAAGCTTATGCCACCAGAAAGAAAGAAACGTAGCTAATATATTGAATATATTGTTCCAAACATTTTTCAGCCTCTCTTCTCCCTGTGCAATAATTTTATATAAAAATAGAATGCATCATCCTGGTACACATGGAAATATCTTCTCAGTTGTAAGAAAAGCAAATAATCCACCTATCATCAGAAGAAAAAAACCCCTCACATTACTTAATGGTGAGGTGGCTAAACTGTGGCAGGGTTGGTCAGCCTGAGTTTGTTTAGTGTTTGTCAAAGCAAATATCAAACCCACGTTTTTGTTTAAATCTGACTTGTGACATCTGCTTACCTATTTATAGCTGATAAAGTTCTCACAGAAAGCCACAGTCAATGCTATCTTATCTTTCAGTAGGCAAACTGCTGTTTACCTTGCATGTTCTCAGCGTTCCTTGTTTCCACCGGCAGTTTAATTAGGATGCATGTTCACCCAACAGAAGCAATGAATGGAGTGGTAAATAATAGTTGGTAGAGCAGTCTGAAGCATTTCATTATCAGTGACTTATTATAATCACTGTAATTAAAAAAGATAAAAGGTCAAACAGGACAGTAACGTCCAACAGGGGTTTGCTGCTCACCAGATAATTTGCTTTGAGATTGATGTTGCCACACCATTCACAGTCACATCAATTCAATCCTCTTAGAAAAAGCTCCTTGTGTATCAGCCTTAAAATGATCCAATTATCACTATGTTAACTCAGGTCATTTGAGATGCTTTAAATGGAATTATCAATGTGCACAGTTTCAATACTTGCATTTAACTGGCCAGTGGTTTAACCTGCTCTGGTGAATTCCGGCAGCAAAAAGCTGTACCAGCCATCTATTTCTGCAACGTTTTTAAACAATCTGCAGTACTTCCCATGTAGAAGTACCTGCGTTGCATAAAATGTATGTAACAATGGTCCTGGGACTAGAGGGTGAACTGTGGCAAGTGAGAATAACAGCAAAAATGACAGTGGTACAGAAAAGAAATTGCATGTAAGGAGTTCACATCACCATGGCTGCCCTGCCTCACCACTCAGCACTGCTATGGGCCCATGCCTTCCAAAACAAATTACTTTCTTCTCTTGTGTTGAAGCTTTTCCTAGTGCTCTAAAGTTACAGATGTCCTCAAGGCTGCAGATCTACCCGAGGCTAGCTCTGAAAGTTTAAAATTTCCAGCAAATTTAAAAATTCAGCTTGGGATTAGCAGTGCCTTCCTCACAGTGCTTGAAACCTATGGCTCTTAGGAGGTTCATTCTCACAGCAACCTTCAAACTGTTTTCAGATATGCGTATGGCAGTCCATATCTGTTTATCCAAAAGCAACCACATTATGTATTCCTGCTTCCTTTTCATTTACTGAAAATAGCAATGGATTTCTTTATTGATTGTAATTCCTTAGTATAATTTAAAACTGGTAACATACCAAACACATCCTTTGCACAATTCCACTGACTTCAGTGTTACACCAAAACCTTTAATTCCAGAAGGGTTACAGTCTTACACAGGTAAATTGAAGTATCATACTGTTTCTTGACCACATTCCTGATTCTTCATGGGAATTGTTCTGCCTTTTTTACTTCCCAAGTGCTGCAAAATAAGCTCAGGGAATTCAAGACCTTAGAGAGACAGACAGAAGAATTGTTTTTTGTTTATTTTAACACATTTCTGAAAACGTAATATAATCATTATTACACTTTCTTGAAAGTACCTATGCTATTAATTACATCAACTAAAGCTACTACTGACATGAAAAAGTACAGGCCACCATGTGGGTAGAAAAAGGAAATTGGAAGTTAAACAATGAAACGCACTACACTGAAGGGGTGGATGAAGTGACCATGAGAAAGGTGCCTTGGCATCTGCCGCTGCACAGAAGCAATCCCATCGAAGGGGAAATGTTCACCATCAGCTACATTTGTCTTAGCCACTGACTCTGCCAGTTGGTACACACAGAGCAGGGTGCACTTGCCAAACGGTACCACCGATTGGTTAACCTAGTCATGAAGAAAGGTCTTGCTCAGTCTTAACTGGGCCCTGATCTACTTTACTGCAAGTCTGACTTGTAGTGGTGATTTTCTTAGTAGAGACTTCACTACACTTTCTTACTGCTGAGTTCTGGGCTGTAATCTCAGTGGGTATTTAAGTGAGCAAAGGCTATGATAATGAATAGACCACACAGCACTATCATGTAGCTGGGACAGGGCAAATATTGCCAGACCTTGATGTTGCAGAACCTATCAGTTACTGTCAAATCTCCTCAGGCACTTTCACAACCAAGGAATGAGATAAGAGGATTTATCTTGAAATCTTTTTATTGTGGTTCTCCCTGTCCTATGGGTAGCATGACCTTCCACAGAGCCAAAGACCATGTATTCTAGATTTGTCACAGTTTGAAAGTCAGGAAATTTTGCTCAGGATGTGTTACAGTGCCACATGTGATCAGAATGGCATACATCTGTTTGTGTCAGCTGTATTTGCTTGACTTTTTAACTTCATAAACATGGCAAAAATAGCCGATGTCATTTTGAGGCATCCATACCAACTGAGGCAACAAGACTAATTCACAGAATTAATTGGAGAGACTGGGAGGTGTTGCATTGCACATCTTGACAAAGGGTTTGTTAGTGGCATTTAACTAGATATTCCAAACTTGATAGAATTATCAAGAACCTAAATCTTGGAATTACCCTGCTAGCTTTATGGAAATGAATCAGCTAATTAATGCAAACGTACGATAGAACATAAGCTAAGATAGAGAAAAATTGAGTCTTTTAAAAGCTAATAAATTGAGAGCCAAAGTGCTCACAAGATGCTGACTGCAACCCATATTCTGGGTTCAGGTCCTGGCTCCAGTTCAGACTTCCTGTGTGGGCTTTGCCAAAACGTATCTATGCCTCACTTCCCTATTAAAAAGACAGCCCATTTGGAATAAGGTTTGTCTCCCAACAAGAGCATGTCAAACACTTCACAGAGCAGCATTCTGCCCTTAACGGGAAAGTCGGTGCGGAACAACGCAAATAATGAGCAACCTCCTCTGTAACAAGGTAGCCCATGTTTCTATAATGACAGGTATCTTTTCTTTCTGAATACATCTGTTCTGCCCAGGGTCTTAAAGTGTGTATATTTATCTATATAAAAGTGGCATACATTTATAAGGCTTTTGTTTGTTTGTTTTAAAGCCAATATATTTCACTTAATCTGTGTTTGAGGCAGCACAAGTTGGGTTTGGCTGACAGCTGTCAGGATCCTGCAGACAGCAATAAACACTACTCTGCAATAATAACTATTGATTTTTTTTTTAAAAAAAATCTCCACTGTTTTTGAGGGAAGACTGTCTATTTGTAGACTGTGGAAAAGATTTAGTATCAGAGTCACTTACAGCATATCACCTGCTTCCTAAAGTCGTAAGTCATTAATAAGGAAATCAATCTTGCAGAACACACAAGCCCTGGCAAACCAAACAGGTGCCCTGTAAAGGAGATTTCATACCATTTCCATACGCTTAATACGGTCCAGAAATATTTTTCATACACTAAGACTACAGCATCAATTCCTGGATACATAAATTTTGTCAGTAACTGAAAACGTAATGTGAATTGTGGTTCCCCCTTGCACCCTTCTTAAACTCTTTCTACAGTTATTAATGTGCAACAAATCAGCACATGTCTGGATTTTCGCAGATTTTTTTTTTTTTTCTCATTAGTAGTTAGATACCAGGGTTCCCAGCCAGACAGGGAGCTAGGTAACTTCTTAATATTTAAAGTATGGGACAACAGAACACTAGATTGTGTGAGTATCTTCATCTTTCTCCGTGATTAAAAATTGTCTCAAAGAATTAAGCTTAATGAATAGAAAAAAAATTCTAGTGATTCACATCAGAGATCAAAATGAGTACCTAATCTGAATTCACCTACTTTCTTAATGCATTACACTTTGTATTTACAGAATGAGCTGGTATTTAGAGTGCTTAAGTGTAGTTTCTAAGATACCTGAATAACTTTGCCTATTAGATTTATTACTTATTTATGGAAAAAAATAACCTAAAGACCCTCCTGAATTTATAGTCATTTGCTAATTTGAGTCTCTATTACTATTTTGGACATGTGTTCACTAGCCAGTCTTAAGTTGGAACCTTGTTAATTGAGAGAAGTTAGATTTCATTTATGTTAAAAAGAATCTAACAATGTTCAGCCAACTCCTAAAGTTCTTAACCTCTTTTATTCTGCAAACAAAGTCTATATTAGAATAGAAATTGCTTGAGAAAACGCTTGAAGATGGCTTATTTTTAAATTCAAAGACATTGACACATTGTGTTAGACACAAAAAATTGACATTTAATTGAAGCTTATAAAAAAATAAATCCCTGTCATGAATAATATTTTCTTCCTCTTTTCCCCTCCTAGGTGTGAATTTTATATTTTCTCCCTGGAACTAGGTTACAGCCGAAGAAATCAAGATGGTCCCAAATTACTCTACCGAAGAAACCATTAAAAGAATCCACGTTGACTGTCCCGTTTCAGGAAGGCACAGTTACATCTACATTATGGTTCCAACTGTTTACAGCATCATCTTTATCATAGGCATATTTGGGAACAGCCTGGTCGTTATTGTCATTTACTGCTACATGAAATTAAAAACAGTAGCCAGCATCTTTCTTCTAAACCTGGCGCTGGCTGACTTGTGTTTTTTAATAACTCTGCCACTCTGGGCAGCCTACACGGCCATGGAGTACCAGTGGCCTTTCGGCAACTGTTTATGTAAGTTAGCATCAGCGGGGATAAGTTTCAACCTGTACGCCAGTGTGTTCCTCCTCACATGCCTTAGTATTGACCGGTACCTGGCCATAGTACACCCAGTGAAGTCCCGAATTCGACGTACCATGTTTGTTGCCAGAATAACTTGCATTGCCATCTGGCTTCTCGCCGGTGTGGCCAGTTTGCCCGTCATCATTCACCGTAATATATTCTTTGCTGAGAACTTGAACATGACAGTCTGCGGTTTTCGGTATGACAACAATAACACAACGCTCCGGGTTGGGTTGGGTTTATCCAAAAATTTGCTGGGCTTTTTAATTCCTTTTCTGATCATATTAACAAGCTACACCTTAATTTGGAAAACCCTGAAGAAGGCATATCAAATTCAAAAAAATAAGACTAGAAATGATGATATTTTTAAGATGATCGTGGCAATAGTATTTTTCTTCTTCTTTTCCTGGATTCCTCATCAAGTGTTCACTTTTCTGGATGTATTAATTCAATTACATGTAATAACAGACTGCAAAATCACTGATATTGTGGATACAGCTATGCCCTTCACCATTTGCATTGCTTACTTTAACAATTGTTTGAATCCTTTTTTTTATGTTTTTTTTGGAAAAAACTTTAAAAAATACTTCCTTCAGCTAATAAAATACATTCCACCAAATGTCAGTGCACATCCAAGCCTAACAACGAAAATGAGCTCCCTCTCATATCGGCCACCAGAAAATATACGCTTGCCCACTAAAAAGACTGCTGGTTCTTTCGACACTGAGTGATGTGATTTGCAATATACTTTTTTTGAACAACCTTGTGAACGAAGCAGCAAGAATGACAAAATTCATCTGCAGTCCTGAACATCACAGCTTACTGCTCATTACAGAAACATTAGATCACCTCAGAGAAATCATACTGTAAAGATTTAGCAGTGGCCTTTTATTTTACATTGTGAAGAGGACTGCTTGGTTTTCATTTTGTTTTTCTTTACTGAATGCAACATGAACAGTGGACAGGCATGTCAGAGTTTCTGTCAGCATCCTGCCATTTACTCAGAACTACAAAAGAAGGGTAGAGAAAACTCCTAACTTAAGTTCAGAGATCTTTTTAAAGGAAAAGCTTGTATAAATTACATGAATTATGAAGGACCTGTTTTGCACACACACGAGCTATTCCAAATTTTGTTCAAGGAGCTGATGCAGCTACACTGCTTGTTTTGTTGGGTTTTTTTTAATGACATAAATGTCATATTTATAATACATTTTCAAATATATGCTATATATAGAGGCCCAGTTCTAAACTCAAATGGAAATTTAAGGTCCTTGAAATTGGTCTCATTCTGATTTATGCTACTATTTTTCATTTTTAAAAATGGCAAGTTTTTCATAATAATATATGCAATAAAATGCAGATTTATTTATTAAATATAGAAGAAATATATTTTTAGATTTCCTACTCATAGATTTCAAACATTGCTTCATAAATGTACATTTATATCCCAGTGGGTATTTTTATAGTAGGTTAAAAAAATAAGTATATACACACACACACACAAAAATGGGGTTCACTTAGCCTTTCCTCATGATATGCCACACTGACTTTGAAGAACATTACTGCAGAGTGGGTTGACTCCATACTCTATGTGACTAAAAGTAAAATTCTGTATTTGAAAACATGAGTTCCGGGACAGAGGTGATCAGAAAACTTCAAACTATTTTTGTATAATAACCAGTGCACTGGATGAGAGAAATTACCAACTAATCAAATCCACTCAGCTTTTAAAATTCCTGGACATTTAATAAACTCACATTCTGATAAGGAAAAATGTGACAATGCTTGTATTACAGTTTAACTAATAATGCTTTTAGTCACATCACAAAACATCCGAGACCAAACTTTACCCTTGGCTTTTATGGAATTACTCTCCATTTATACAAAACTAAGCCTAGAGTATTTGCTCCCTGTAGAACCTTTTTTTATGTGTATGGAACAAATTCAAATACATCAGAACAAAAGTCAGGCTTAAACTCTCGATACAAATGACAGGGGAAAAGGTGATAAGCACTGTAGGAAGTTTCAACTAATGATATCCTCATATATCCTTTTTACCTCAAATAATGAAGACCAGAAAATACTTAATCTTGATTCACACTCATTTATTGTCTCCAAAGATAAATGAGTTCATAAATACTTTTTGACGTAGTAAAACTTAAGAAAAATCCCAAAACTTTACAGATACCATGTAGACAATTACAAGACCCTTGAGAATTTGCAATATTTATATAATCTTCAAAATTATACATCTAATGTGGCTTTGTCTCAGGTAGCAAGTGGTTGGATTATCCATATTTTCTGATTATCAGTCTCTTGCATATACACAAATAATATTTTAAATTATTTTTTACTTTAGGAAATTATCTTAAAACACAACAAAAAAGTTATTTCTGTAGTTTAGTACTTTTTAAGAAAAAATGGGACTACAACCAGGTCTGGGAATCTTGTGCCTCTTCCTGCTCTTTCATTTATTTATTTTAAGGCAAGTTTCTTCAGTTTTGCCTTTGCTCTTGCAGCTGCAAAATGGGAACAATCTCTAATTGTATGTCACAAGGCACTGTGAAGATTCACTAAAACTTCTAGAGCTGCATGTTAGAAGAAAAAAAAAAAGCTCTTTCGCTGAAGGTTTAAGTTAATTCGATTGCAAGCTAGTATCTCAAAATCGGAAACCTGAATGTGTCATTTAAAGACACAGTTAAATTATTCCTATTATATGTAATGCTTTGTATCTAGCTTATATCTATCCTTGTATGTTAGCCATTCATTAGAAGCGAGTGTGGCAGTGGTCCATGCATTATAGATAGCATGGCGAACCGTGGCAC